AGTAGAAAATAATATTTTAATTACTTTGAAGCAATGTGCATTACAGAACAATTGACAAAATCATTGACACTTATATACATCAATAATAATTTATAATTAGTTATTTTTTGAGTCGGTGCTAGCCAAGCAAAAATAACCTTCATAGCTACCTAGAGTTTAAATAAAAGAAATCGGATGAAAACTTTGTTGCAAAGACAGGATTAAACTGACCCTCTTGACTGGCATCGACTCCAAAAATAACTAATTATAAATTGAAAATGTATATAAGTTACAATGATTTTGTTGATTCAGTGTAATGCACTTTGCTTTGAAATAATTAAATTTTTCTACGTTTTAGAAGTTTGTACATGTAGGTATAGTCTTGAAGTTGGTTTTTATTATTTTTTTCAGAAAATTAACTTTATTTTTCAATTTTTAGTGTGTACATATTTTATGGTTTTGTTGATTTTTTCAAAAAGCACTGAATCAATTTTGATAAAATTTATATGGGACCACCTTTGAAGTATGAACTACCAACCAAAAAAAGAATAATCAAAATCAATTTATAATTTGTGGAGTAATCGCAGAATTGATAGACAAAAAATATATAAAACACATTATGCGTCCCTATAAAATTTGTGGGTTTTCCTCGATTTTCCCGGGATCCCATCATCAGATCCTGACTTGGTGCCAATGGGACCACCTAGGAAGTACACCCTTTTACACAAAAAAAGAATTTCTGGAATCGACCCAGCCGTCTTTGAGTAATCGGGGAACATACATAAAAAAATATTTCGATGAATTGAGAACTTCCTTTCTTTGAAGTCGATTAAAAAGATAAGCTTCCACAGCCGGCGCAATCCGAATAATGTAATCCTTTTGTGTGGATAAACACCAAATTGGTCGTAGGATTTTGTAAAATTTTCAATGGGAAATCTTGGAAAAGTCATATAATAAACTCCCAATAGAATAGAATTTGTTCCTTTTGATTTATTATTCGTGTATCCGAATGACCTTTACTGTAACATTTTTTTTACGTACGTGGAATTAGGAATGCAAGGGTATTTTTCCAATTTGCATAAGAATACTTAGGTACATACGTTAGATGTAGTGTCCACTAAATATTTATGTGAGAGGTAGAACTGAAGCAACCAGCGTGATATCATTCCAAAGGAATTTACAGTATTTGAAGTTTGAATAGTATACAACAGTCACAATTCGTATTCGTATAAATTCAATTTATTTGTGGGAGTGTAGGATAATAATGTCATATGATGAATCCTAATTTAAATTTATTATTAATAAATGATCAAGCTGATAGCTCTTGGCGCAATACTTTAAATAGGTAATTAAGAAAATAACAGGTAATTTTATTATTAAAGGATTTCTATGTACGTTTCGCCTTATTAGGACATCGTCAGTGATTACATTATAATATATGTGTGAAATTATCTAATGATAAGAGTATCATTTTTATAATTATTACATTAAATTATTATTGTTTTTTAATAGAATATAAAAGAAGACCTACTAAAAATTGTGCAAATAATTATCATCATCAATCCTTAGTCATCATTATTTACGTTTTTTAAGAAAACAAAGTCCGACGAAGGACGTCTAAATTTCAACATCGCGTTTTCGTCTGTAGAAAAAGCTAGGCATGTAATTTAATATATTTTAAAACGGGTAAACACCCAATAATTCAGTAATTTTTTACCTTCTGTAGATCCTATCACAATAAGTACGGTAATTTGTAAATTACATATTTTGTTATACCTTGACCGACTCTTGCAACCTGAAGTAGCATAATTAGCGAAATAAAATATTTTAATTCAAAAATTCCTGTTATGTACATATGCATAATACTGTTTAACATATTAATCTCATTAATATTAATAGAGAGCTAAAAGTTTGTTTGTGGAATAATTGGTAGCAGTGTTTTATTTCTGATAAAAATTATTGCATTAGTTTTTGATAGTTAACTATAATAATGTAGATAATTGTTTTAATCAAACTATTTCGATAAAATCATATTACCTGCTATGTATTAGTATTAGTTTATATAACAAATAACTAATAATTAATTAATTATCGTAATAACTTGTACGTATGCACATTACTATAATACATACTTAATCGATCATCATGAAATTTTGTACATACATCGTCAGGGGTACACAAAAAGATATAGGGTAGGTACCTTATCCAGAAAACAAATACTGTTCCGAGGTATAGAAAAATTAGTTTCATGTAGTCGTCGATGATCTTTGATACGAATTTTGGACATCAAGGCGAAAGAAAAACCGAGCGGCATGGCCTAGAGGTTTAAACCATTGCTTAGCATTCGGGAGGACGCCGGTTCGATTCCGGGTCCGTCTGCCTTGGTCCAAGTTTTTCTGTGGTTTCCTTGGATCACTTAGGCAAATGCCGGGGCAGTAATATTCCACAGATAATCTTTCATTCTCTTCTGTCTTCATTTCGTCTGTCTCATCTTTCTCACCCGAACCACCGCCCACCCCATTCCCACGATTCCTGAAAGGAGCCTAAGAGGGCCTTCCGCCCTACCTTCCGGCATAGTCCGGAGGGACTGCCCGCCCACCAGCATTATTGGCTGGTGGGAATGAAACACCCAAAATTTTTTTTTTCGGGTAAAACCTGTCAAGAAATTTTGTAGACACATTGTTAGGAGTATACAAAAGGACTTAGGATACCTTTTATGCAGAAAAAAAATACTGTTCCCGAGGTGCAAAAAAATTGGTTTTATGTTGTCGTCGATAATCCTTTACACGTTTGCAGGACATCGACGTATGTGAAGCCGCGATAAAATCCTAATATGTACTTGCATACATATTTGCTAGTCTTGTTAAAATACTTTTTTAAAAAGATGCTTTCTTTATGAGAATATTGCTATTTGTTTAAAATACTCATGGCATTTCTTGAGTTATTGTACCTTTTTAACAGTCAAAAACTTGTACCATTAGTAGGGTTCCGTGCCTCGAAAGGAAAAAAGGAATTTTTATATTCGATAAGGTCTGGGGTTGTAGCTCCTTAAGCTCCTTTTCTTTGATGAGGAAACTGTGTACTTACTATACAACTTCCGGCTTTATTTCATCTTTTGAATTTAACTTTTGTACTTGTGTCCCAATTTTACGTAATTGCATTGCAATTGTAAAAAATATTACAAGGATGGTTCGTGTATTTAATTTCTAATTTATAAATTACGAAAAAACTTTTCTGCACTACGCAAACTATATAGTAATGCAGTAATTAACAACATCATAGGTAATTTTGTAATCTATTCCAAGGCTCGCGTTATCGGGACAGGATACGTATACGCTGGTATTATGCAGAATTTCGTAATCGGTGTGATTTTAACAAATAGTTGGCGATGTAATATGTAAAAATTGCGCAATGAAATATCATACGTTATGGGTATTCATTTATAATAATATAAGATAGTTTTGTAGAGATAAAGCGAGAACAACGAATCTGAAGAATTTAGGTCGCGGAAACTTTGTTAAGTAAATGCATTTTAAAGTGTAGGAAATTGCATTTGTTCTCGAAAAGAAGGAGTAGAACACGTATTTTGCACCTAGAAGTAAAATTTACATGCACAAATCCCTAGGGATTTGTCCTTTCAGAAACTCTATAATCTAACACGAGCAATTCTTTATACACTAGCGGCGAGTTAAGAATCAAACATAGGGATATTCTAGTAGCAATATGCAATCATCAAAAGGTGGCATCATCTTTTCTACAAATCCCTTAAGCCAATAAGGAAATCTAAGTTCAATTAATGTAATTGAAAGTTTTTAAAGGGCTGTTACTTTTTGTTCAAAAGATTTTGAGAATTCAGTTAGTTTAAGGCAGTTTTTAGAGCTTTTTCACTTTATCATAAGGTCGTCAGTCCTAAGACTGGTTGGACTGGACGCGTACTTCCACTCTTTCCTATCGTTAACTAATCTTCGCATTTCCTTAAAACTAAAGCATCCCAGATCCTTAACTATTTGCGTAATGTAGGTCAACATCTACTCCTCTTAACACCTGTTTCTGCCTCTAATATGTCTTTTTCGCTTGTAGGATATAAAAAAATGAAGAAATAGTGGCAAATAAATGTGTAACTTTTGTGTCCGGTGATCGTTTTACCTTACCTGTATATGTATAGAGAAATATGTACCTACACGTATTTGTACTTGCTGTAAGTATTTTGAGTAAATTTACATGGTAACAGTGTTTTGGACTAATAATAAGCATAGGAACCGGTGGCAGAAAAGGCATAATAGTATTGGGCCATCGGTCTGAAGAGGTCCTCGGTCCGAGAGACAGTGGGGACAGGAATTATAACAAATTATTAAGATTTGAACAATCCGTACTTTCTATAGGGTTGTTCGGAAAGTCATTTCGTTTTTTTTTGTGGAAATGAAAGACAGTTTTCGTATAATAAACAAATACTTTATTAAATTATATATTGACCGTTCTGGTCCAACACCTTTTGCCATCTTTCTGGTAGTAGCATAATTCCACGCTCATAAAATTTTTGGTCTTTGCTGGCAAAAAACTGATCGAGGAGGTTTTTGACCTCCTCATTTGAGGTGAAGGTTTTACCGTCTAAAAAATTTTGGAGTGACCGGAACAAATAATAATCCGATGGTGCCAGGTCTGGAGAATATGGTGGGTGTAGCATTGTATCCCATTCAAGCTGTAAAAGCTTTTGGCGAGTGACCAAACTTGTGTGAGGTCTCGCGTTGTCTTGGTGAAACACTACACCTTTCCTGTTGATTAGTTCTGACCTTTTCTGTTGAAGTGCATCATTCAGTTTGTCCAGCTGATGACAGTAGACTTCCGAATTAATCGTTGTGTTATCCGGTAAAAGCTCAAAAAAAACGATTCCTTTAAAATCCCACCAAACAGACAGCATCACCTTTTTTTGGTGAATATCGGCTTTGGAAATGGTTTGAGCCGGTTCATCTTTTTTGCTCCATGACCTCTTGCGTTTGACGTTGTTGTATACAACCCATTTTTCGTCCCCAGTGATGATGCGCTTCAAAAACGGATCATTTTCGTGACGTTTGAGAAGCGAATCGCAGACGTCAATGCGGCGACACAGATTTCTCTCTGTGAGAACATGGGGAACCCATACATCGAGCTTCGAGGATAATCCCAGGCCTTTCAAGTGGTCATAAACTGTTGAATTTGATAAATTTAACCTCAATCCGATCTCACGTGTTGTTATTCGCCGGTTCACATCAACTAATGCCTTTATCGCGTCTTTATCAGCTTCAACCGGCCTTCCCGAACGTGGTGCATCTTCGACATCAAAATTGCCGGATCGAAATTTAGCGAACCAGTTCTGGCACTGGCGTACTGTCAACACACCTTCTCCATACACATCAGTCAATTTCTTTCTGGCTTGAACAGCATTTTTACCCTTTCTGTAGTAAAACAGTAAGATATGTCGAAAATGCTGCTTATCGCTCTCCATATTTAAAAGGGCACCAACCAAAAACTACTGCGTAGAATTAATTGGAATTTTTCACACACAAGCCTTGCTATATGAGCTCTCAAAGCATATAAAAATTATACGGCTTAAATGTGAAGTTGGGTGCAAAAGATTACAATTAAATCCTCTGTCGGTAAAAAACGAAATGACTTTCCGAACAACCCTATATTTTAGAAAGACATTCATGCGCTTCACATTTTCATAAAATTCTAGAGAGCTGCTATCAAATAATGTTTGTCTGTCACTTTAAGCAGTCTTATTGTAGTTTATTTATATAGTATTTATATTTGTATTTATTGTTATTGATTAATTTAATAACTAAATGGCATGCCACAAGTTGCCAACAATTCGAGAAATAGTTCCGGAAGGTGCCGAAGAACAGTCTATTGAAGACGAATTAACGGATTCTAACATTAAATTGCAATACATTAGCGCTACCTTCGGCGTAGAGGAAGCGGAAGGCGAGTTGCACGAAGAGATACATAAATACGAAGACGAACCGTCGTGTAATGTATCAGAATGTAAAAGTCAATCGGAAGACCAACTAGCAAGCATTAATTGCATACGCTATGCGGACAAGGAGGCATTCGCCAATTACGTAGTCGAAAGTACTCTTCGATTAACGGCTAAGAAGATGTACGAATTGGAATGTTGCAAATTCGAGGATTATCCGTGCAGTTTGGACTCGGATATTTTCGGAATTAAATTCTGCAAACCGTTCTACCCTGTAATGAAACAAAACGGTCTTGAGGACGTACTATTCTACTTCAAATGGCCCAGTGTTGGCGAGTTTACTCCTAGACTAGGAGGCAAGAAAATTTTAGAATTCATGGCCAGTTGGTATACAAGAGAAAAGTGGTACTACTGCTTAGAAAGTATCGGTTATGAACGAAGCGGCTTGAAAAATTTGTTTTATTACAAGAGCACATGGTCCTTATCAACAAAACCGTATCCCGTGCCTCAAGTTACGGCTTCTATATTTTTTACTATTGTCATCGAGGACAGCATTCCGCTATGTTGTCCCGTAAAAGTAACCTACAAAATAGAAGGATCTTCTCTTGAACACGTTCCGGGAAGAATAATATTTCGGGAACGGTGGCTTTTAGATTTACTTCAAGCAAAAAAGAAAATTCTGAAAAGGATCAAATTCTAACGAGTTATTTTAAGTTTTGTGTTATTATTCTTGTATTGCGTATAAATATACATTTTTTTAACGTAATTTATTCTGATACGTGAACTTTTAGTTTGAGACGTAGAAATAGGAATAAAGAGGGACAGAGAATGGCTTGGTAGATAGTTAGGGATGCGTGATGTTCTACGTAGCTTTCGGGAAATACGAAGATTGCCTCGGAATAGGAAGAACCTACTACAGGTGTTTGTCTAACCGATGATTTACGTATTATTGTGATTCTGTATTTTAATTCTAAATTAATTAATTCCTAATTATTTCCCTAAACATGACACACCCACATATTTATTGGATCTAGAATTATCTTGAAGGAAGGTGGAAGGATCTTGATTTTATGATTTTTGATCTATCTACCATGAAATTCTGTACACTCATTTTCAGGGGTACATAAAAAAACATAGAGTGGTTAGAGTACTTAAAAATGTAGGGATGAATTACAAAGATAGAAGAGTGATACTTAGTTTGCATAAAGAGCAACAGGCAGTTATAGAGCTGGCGATGCAACGTAGAAAAGTAAATATTAGGAAGGGAGTCAGGCAGGGATGCACACTGTCACCGCTACTTTTTAATCTATACATCGAAGACGGCATCAACATCATTAAAGACAGTACAACTGTAGGGATAGACGTGCAAGGGCAAAAGATTAGTATGCTCAGATTTGCATATGATATAGCAGTATTAGCATCTAGCAAGGAGGACCTAGAGATAGCTTTAAATAAAATGGAAGCGGTACTGACAGATCAGTACTGTATGAAAATAAATAAAAGTAAAACTAAAATACTGGTATGCAAGGGAAGAAAAAGTAGGGAAAGAGCGAATATAAAGATAGGAGACGAAAGATTAGGAGAAGTGGCTAATTTTAGATACCTAGGAAATCAGATAAGTGAGGATGGAAGGAGTAGTAGGGATATAAAGCAGAGGATAGCGCAGGGTCGTGTCGCCTTTAATAAAAAGAAGTCACTTCTATGCTCGCGAACGGTTAATTTAGAAATTCGAAAAAGATTGATAAAAGGTGTATGTTTGGAGCACGGCATTGTACGGGTGCGAAACATGGACAGTCGGCGCGGCGGAAAAGAAAAGGCTAGAAGCGTTCGAAATGTGGTGTTATAGGCGGATGATGAGGATATCGTGGGTAGTAAAGGTTAGAAATGAAGAGGTATTGGAAAGAATAGGAGAACAGAGGACTCTATGGAAGTAAATAAAAAATAGGCGAGATAGGTTGGTAGGACACCTTCTCAGGCATGAAGGTCTAGTCAGAGACATATTAGAGGCAGAAATGGAAGTTAGGAGGGGTAGAGGTAGACCTAGATTAGATTAATCTTCGCAAATAGTTAAGGATGTGGGCTGTTCTAGTTTTAGGGAAATGTGAAGTTTAGCTCAGGATAGGAAAGAGTGGAGGTACGTGTCCAACCAGTCTTACGACTGATGACCTTATGATGATGATGATGATGATGTGGTCGTCGATGATCTTTGACATGTATTTTGGACATCAAAGCGAGCAAAACTGCGGTAAAACCTATCATGAAATTTTGTACACACATTGTCAGGGGTTTTGAAGAATACATAGGGTGAAATCTAGTAATAGTATAATTTACAATTATACCCCGAAGGAGAGTTAATTTCTAATTCGAGAAATTACCTATTAGGTTTTTCATTTTCAATTTATTGATTGATTTTGGATTTGCTGATTTTAAAAAAAGAAAATAGTTCTAAACTAATTTCAAGCATATTATATAAAACACAAACGAATGTAACAAGTTTGATTTTGGAATTTGGAAAGTTTCAATAAATGTTTTCGCATAAGGACTGACCCAAAATTTTGCAAAATGAATTTGGACCTCTTTTTATTATGTTTACGTTATGATGTTGAGCAACTGTGTGTCCTTATCAGTTTTGAGAAAAATATTGTTCGATGAGCGGTTCAACCTGAAGGTGGCATTAAATTTACTGTTTGGCGCCGCAATTACGTCTCTTTTTAACCATGACCTATTACGAAATTCTTTAAACGATCGTGTACTGAATTAACTCACTTCGCATGCTTAAAACTTGATTTTTTCATAAGGAAATATATATGCACCCGTCAAATACAATAACGATTTTTTTATTAGCCCTCAATTGTATCATTTCGTAACTTTAAAACTTTAATATTTCAATTAAAACAAAAAAAAACAATAAAAAGCCAGTATCGTTTACAACAAATGCTAGACAATTATTTAGTTTAATAGGTCACACAAGAAGAGCACTAGGGAGTGTCCTCTAGGATCCACCCAAATAAATGTAACAGCCACTAAAGGGGATTTTAATTGGAGATAATCACATTTCGAACTCATTTAACCTTTTCTTTTCCGCCGCGCCCACTGTCCACGTTTCGCACTCGTACAGCGCCGCGCTCCAAACATATACCTTTAACAATCTTTTCTAATTTAACTATTCGCGAGCACAGAAGTGATTTCTTTTTATTTAACGTGACTCGACCCTGCGCTATCCTCTTCTTTATATCCCTACTACTTTCGTTCTGACTTATCTTTATATTCGCTCTTTCCCTATTTTTTCTTTCCTTGCATACCAGTATTTTTGTTTAACTTTTATTTATTTTCAAACAATACTGTTTTCTTAATAGCGCTTCTATTTTATTTAAAGCTGTCTCTAACTCCTCTTTGCTAGATGCTAATACTGCATATCTAAGCATACTAATCTTTTGCCCCTGTATATCTATCCCTACAGTTGTACTGTCTTTAATGATGTTGATCGCGTCTTTGATGTATATACAGTGTAAACTCTACATAACGACACTTAAGGGAGTGAACATTTTTCGGCGTTATAAAGAGTGGTCGTTAAATGGAGAGAAATAAAAGATACTATTTTACTATTCTATAATAATATGCATTTACCAATATAGTGCACATTTTGCACACGAACATTATTATTCATACATTGCGTATAGCCTGTTATCTTCGTCTGATGTTTTTTGCTGCTCCAATATTTTAATTGTATTTTGTTACGTATCTTAATCATATCTTGAGGTACTGCTGGATCAACTTGATTATATAAAAAGTATTTTTTTAATAGTTTCGCTGCATCAGGTGCTTGTTTGATGCTTGGTGGACGGACAGGATCGTCTTCTTCAACAACGTACACAGCTGCAGTTCTTACCTATTTCGGCAACTTAGAAAGTACTGCTCAATGATTTCTAATGCCGCATTGTTGTCGTTAAATAGAGTGAGCGTGACGCTATATAGAGTGTCATAATGTATATAAAACAATGTAAACCAACCAAAGTCAAGCAATTTCGACGTTTTAAGGAGTTTGTCGTTAAATCGAGTGACGTTATAAAGAGTTTACACTGTATTAAAAAGTAGCGGTGACAGTTTACATCCCTGTCTGACTCCCTTCCTTGTCAATTTAAAGTACGAAATTATTTAACTTACAGAACTTTTTGTGTATTATATTGGTTGCTCCTACAGGTACCTAATATTTAATGTTAATTTAGGTTTATTAGGATCTTTCATTGTTTATCTGTAATGTTTGTAGGTGAAACCTTTTTCAATGAAATTGATTGAATTATCAATCATTTCCATAAAAACAAATAAAAATAAAACTGTAAAATTCCTAATAATCCGTAATTGTACAGGACATTTCCACATAACTTGAATGTGGGCACTTGCCCGACACAAAGTGCATCGTTTGCATTACCTTAGCTCTGTCTTTGATCTAAATGTATTCCTACTGCAATTTCGTCTTTATCACGTTGGCTTTAAGCCCCACTTTGTAATTGTTGGCCCGCTTAGGCCAGTGACATGCAGTGCAGTTTGTTGCTGATGTGAATCGTCGACCACTTTCAGTTTCGTACGCATAGAAGTAGCGGTGTGTTGTCGTGATCGCGTCTACCGCGAGTTCGCGGGGATTCGATGTTCTGTTTTTTTTTTTTATTTATTTATTTCGTTATCTTTTTGTGTTTCGTTGTTTGTTTATTGTTGCGCGTATATTTTTTTTGTATCCGTTCGCTACACGCCAGAGTCGCACGTC